TTCCATCTTGGCGGTAGCTGGATATGGTAGGATGAGTTATTACTCTTGTTGGTGACGGTGCAGTGACATTCGTTACTCTAAATGAAAAACTCTGTTGTGTTTCTGTTATTGGTATGACCACATATTGGCTTCCTATTTGAGGTGTGTGTTTCGCCATTTTTCTTCCTTTCTGCTTTCGATTTGTCATCGGTAGTTTGAAGGTATCGCTTTGCTTGTTATGCTTTTGGAAATAGTTTTTAAACTGATTTACTTACAAGTCGATATACCTCTTTTGAGGAATCTCAGGTATCCGATTCATGTAGCATTATCATCAGCGGAACTTCGATAAGTTCGTTCCATTCTCAAATATTTATATACAGTCTGATGTGATTGAATTCAAGGACTATTCTTGAAGCAATCTGTAGGTCACTTATGTCGTTTACTTACGTACGATCTCAATAAAGTTTCGTTATTGGTCGAACGTTTGAGAGAAGTCGCAATGTTAAAAGTCATCATCATGTTCAAACTATTGCTAGTGAGAATATCATAAAAACTTTTACGATGGTATCATTATCAGCTGTTAATCAACTGAATAAAGCCTGTAATAATCATGAAAAGGAACATATCCATGAATGAAGTTTTTCTCCGTTATTTATGTGTGGACTGCGGAAAGCACACTGTAAAAGTTCTCGAGTTACATTCTCTCACGCCAACATGAAAATTGAACTTGAGTATTCTCGTAAATCATTTGCGTTAGAGGTAGCTGAAATGAACAGCGATGATTGATTGTTTCGAAAGAAGAACTAACAAACTTTTTCCAACAAAGCCGTATTGACAAGTTAGGTAATGATAAATGTCGAATTTTACGAAGTGGCTTTTGATGTCTCCAAGTCGAGGGGAACAAGACAAACTGTCTTGACAAAATGAATGTAGTGGCTTTCGTGTAGGCAGGGTGTCGGAGGGGCAGTTGTGAATATAATGTTGCTTTCACGTCGGATATTACAGCTAGAAAAAAATTCACAGTACTTATATAGAATCTCGCAATGCCTCCATCCTCAATCTAGAGTAGATTATAATTTTTTTTTTAAATGAATTGAACCCTCCGACAAAGAATGTATCCAAAACCATCATTGTTCCCAAGCACCAGAACTTCATCAATCTCCTCGACGCTTCTTTACATCAACATAGCGATAGATTTGGAGGCGAGGGATTTGGAGAACCAATGACTTGGTTTTTCGTTTCAAGTTCTGGATATTTTTCAAATTGTTTGGTGGAACATTATGAAGTTTTGGACTTGAGTGAAATGAACTCCTTTGCGATTTGTTTTTTGATTGTCATTCTACTTGCGACGTCAGATTTTGCCGTGTTAGGTAAGGATGACCGATGGCTTCTAGATCTGCTTTGTATTTATGTTGGCAAGCTACACTATTCACAAAATATAATTGTCGAATATGTGAGATTTTTCATTCATTGAAAAATTATTCAGCTGGGTGAGTATGGTTTGATGAAGATGACTTCAAGAATCATTTTCTGCATTTTTCCCAGTTTTCTTGGCTGTACCCCATGCATAATATAATATTTTCATTTGACCTGTGGTGAGTTTTGGAATATGTTGAGTTTTGCACTCATTTCTAATAAACAATAGTGAAATGACAAAACGTCATTTCACGTAAAGCGAAAACAGAGGTTATGTACTATCATAATTTTGAATATTTGAATCGCTGCAAAAGTTATAGTGGAGTTTGGCAACATTTTTGGTCGATTTCTTTAATTTTTTCACTCTCCCGTTTGAAGAATGATGTTTTTTGTAAAAGACAGGAAGAAAAGGGAGTAGAAAGTAGAAGGGATACTTTTTATATCAAAATGAAGAGCGGTCCTCGCATAGTATTTTGTTGGCTTCAACTACCCTCAAAAAAAGTCCCAGTATCATCAACTATAAATATTTCGTTAACGAAGAAGTTATCTATAACTTTGACAGATGACTGAAATCACAGATGTCAATGGTGAATGAAACTCTCCTACATCTGTTTGGAGTTGGAAATATTATGAATATTCTGCTTATGTAGTGAAAACTACAGGGGAAGGAGAATGGCAATTTTGTAGCTTAGCTTCATAACTGACTAATTTTCCTAGCCTTGTTTATCATTGCTATTCGTGGTTCGACTTTTTGTTAATGTCATTGGTGGCTTCTTCCTAACGGAAGATATCCATTCTGACGTATACAAAAATATATCGTTTTGTCCATGTTCGGATTTGGTGGTGGAAAATTGCAATATGACGTAACTCTGAAAAAATTTAAAATAACACAGTCTTCCAATCAGTTATCTAGCTAGTAAACTCGCCTTTTTTCTTCAATAAAATTTTATGTTGACTATCATTATGAACTCTTCAGAATATTTATATCTGAGTCTGATGGAATTGATTTTGATAAGCAAACTGTTGATTGACTGAGAAATGATCGGTCATTCAAGTATCGAATTTTATGAAAATTCAAATGTTCAAAGCTATTTTTCGACTTTATTGACTGTTACGTTGTTCAACGAGGGTGGAAGAGAAATTTGGTTTTGGATGAATGAAAGTTAAACCCCCCTTCGGTATATTCCAAAACCGTATGGGTAACAAAAATATTTTTTTTCGGTCACTGAAAAGTTTACTCAAATGACCACTCGGCTAGCTCAGCAATTTGGGGGTGAGTATGGAGAATAAATCCACCAAAGGGTGCTGTTCTTGATATTTTACAAAAACTTTATTGAATCTTCAACAGGTTTCAAATAACATACAATGACAAATATCAAGAGAGAATATGCAGTGTTTGTATTAACCCAAAGTGGTTTTGAGGGGTATTTCTCAAAGCAGAGTAATATATATAACAGAAATGCTTCCGTGCCTGTGTGATCACACCTGATTTGAGCACGTTACTTAACAGGAAATAAGTTCAATAAATCGATCAATAATAATTCTATTCTAACACTGAATCAATTACAAAACTCAGTAATCACAAATTTGATACAAATCAAAGTTACACTGAATGATAAGGGCAAAATAACAAATTGATGCAGCACTTCTTATGAAATAGAGGCGGCAAATCGTGTTAAGGCAAGTCTCTAGTACTCGTAAAGCGTTAAGGATGCTAATGATTACGCAATGTGTTGTTGAACAAACTGAATCGGTGTCAAGCACAGCTGCGGCAAGCTTTAGGCATTCTTGAAGCTGTATCCTGCCGCGGAATGCAGCAGGATACAGCGGAATGCAGCAGGATACAGCGGAATGCAGCAGGATACAGCGGAATGCAACAGGATGCAGCGTGCATGCAAGCTCACGATGGTATTTTCTAGGTTGTGACATGTATTGCACCAGTTAGGTTAGGTTAGTTAGGTCATAGCAAAAAGAAGCGGACTCACCAGGATAAATCAAATGAATAATGCTACTGCTACTTATCATGCGACCCCGTGATGTCCAACTTAAATGCAATATCTAACAATAGCGGCTGGTGGTCTGAAGCGGCCGTTTCGAGAGGCTAGGGCAAAACATCAAATCCGACCTCTTGTCGGGATCTCGTACCAGCAAACTCCTTGTACTCGTACTCGGGACTCTCGAGTCTTTCCCTTACAAAACCCAAAATATTTTGGAATGCAACAATTTCTTCAAATTGTTAACAAAATTAGGAAAAACCTATTGTTTCTTTCTCGTCTCCGCGAACCCACCCCTTCTTCTCCCTTTCATCCCCCTCCTCTCATAATCTATTTCCGCCTTTCGAATTCCTATTTATTGAAATACCTCCTATAACACTCTTTCTTGCCTTTAGACTTCCTATAATTGATCAAGGTGATTGTTTGAATGTTCATAACGGTCACTTTTGACGTAACACAGCTGCAGCTATTTTATAATTCGCCTGAATCAAATTTTACCGCCAGGAAGTAAACCTGACTAGTTCGGTAGTCGATCTTTCTCGACCGGCTTGCGAACTACGACGGCAGCAAATGACACCTATGACAAAGGCAACATCTAGGTTTTGTTTATTTTTCCAAATGCGCCAATTGAATATCAAAACAGGAATGCCAAGTAAGTATTGACAATTGTAACATATTGACCATCCCTCTACACTCATTATTTTCATCTCTTTATATAAATGAATGAAGATATTTTGACTTTTCTTCCTTTTCTGAAGTACCAAGTTTGTTTATAATAATAAATTCCTTTAAAATGTTCCTAATTGAAGGTAGACAACCAACCCTACTTGGCAGTTGTAGTGTGTGCTGCCTATCTGAACTGATTATAGTGTATTTACCTACATAGAATAAAATAGCCCAATGTTACTTGGCGGGAAACCGGCACGTAACATGACGTTGACTTCAGTGAAAACGAAACGAAGAAATTGGCATTCATTGTTGTCAGTCTGAATCTTTCCTTAAGTAACAAAAATTGTTTCATTCACCTTCATCAAGCTGCATTTGTGATGGTACGGATGGGATTCAAGGCAAGGTATATATCAATATATCTAATGGATTCAATGACAAAATATTAGTTAAAAAACTATAATTGGCATGGATTTGCGTTGATTTTGAGTTAGGAACGTGTGTGTATTTTGTCAATGAATAAATAAACAAATGGATATAAACAAATAATGGAACCGAAAAATATTAAAAATAGTGGAAAGAGAGTAACAATAATGAGTACTAAATGAAGTCGACTGAAGACATATCAGTCTGCGCTGTAGTAAAGTTGAGGTGCCTAATGTGGAATACAATTTTATTTCAATGAGAAAAAATTAGTGAATTTTGATATTTCTCTAAAATATCTTATTGGAGAATTGGTAAAAAGGTTCGGGATGTGAGGACATCATTATTTACAAAATATCAGCAAGTGGGTACCCGCAAGAAAACAAACAATGAAAAGTGTTTTTTTGGTAGTTCAAAAAATGGGTTCGTAATGTGGAATACCCCAAGTCCTGATGTGAAATAGTTTTGAATGAGCAGAAATATTGAAGAAATTATCGATTTGAATGTATGTAAACAACGAAGTAAAGAAAGTCATTTTAATTTTGAAATTTTCAAACAAATTTAAGATCGAGAAATATTATATCAACGGCAGAAGTCACAGACATATGGTTCTTTCTCTGATCCTGCACATTCTTCGTGAGCCGAGTAATTACACATGAAGCACATAATCCAAATTTCACCGCGATTGTTCTCAGAAGAATGCTCTTCACAAAAAATGCATGGAACGTCATGATCAGGATTTGCTTGCCCATGAAAAATTTCATCGTTTTCCGAAGAATTATGGAGAGAAATACTTGATGCAGCAGATTCTGAACTTGATGAATCATTTTTCTGGCATTTTTTTTTTATTTTTCATGTTAGCTCTACCATTACGACTACTTCTCTGGGCTGAACTACAACCTGCATTTTCTGTAATTATTTTTCTCTTAACTGCAACCTTCTTCTCCTTTGTCGGCGCGTTTAAAGATAACTCGAGCTCATCCTTATTCGGCGTCGAAGTAATAATTTTTGCTCTTCCTGGTTTTCTGCCTCGAGTACCTTTTTTTATTTGTACGGTAGGTATTGGAGCAATGTCTTCTGGTTTGACAAGGAACTTGCTTGTACTGCCGCCCTTTGTTCAACTTGTTGGTTATCAATTGATGCCTCTGGCATAGATACATTGTCAGCAGTTGCATTTTCCTTGTTACGTTCAATCACTAAAAAATCTTCTTCATTGAAAATATTTTTCCTAGTTGGATAAATTCCTGTGGTAGCAAATCCTTTGATGGCTCGCTCTACTGATTGTAACTTCAAATAAGCCCGCCCAAACAGTTCGCATACATCAAAATGATTAACAGAGCGTTGATTCTCTTTCAAAAATATTCTTATTTTTCATTATAAAATATTTTCAGAGGCCCCATTACTGTCTTGTCAAGTGGCTGCATTTTATGGGAGGTGTGTGGCGGCAAGGAAAGTATTGTTACAAAATTTTCTTTTGCTTTTATTATAACGTCTAGGTTTCTTGTATGAGTTATGCCCATCCAAAATCAATAGGACCGGGTTGATTTCAGATGGACGAACGTATGAGAGAAAGTGATCAAACCAAACAGTAAATAGATCCATTTGGATCCATCCTGATGGGTGGAATTTAAACAAACTGCCAGGTGGAGCTCCCTTCTTCAATTGTTCGTTACAATTCTTGCGCGGAAAAATGATCATTGGCGGTACGAATACTCCATCTGCGCTCATACAGAGAGAAACAGTTATTAGCGATCCCCGCTCTGAAGAAGTAAGGGTCCCAATTTGACGTTTACCCTTCATAGCTAAAATTTGAGGACACTTAGACTGTACAACGCTTATTCCACATTCATCTACATTGAACATTTGCCTAGGAGAAAGTTTCTTCTCTTCCATAATATTTTCCAATAAGTCAAAAAATTCGTCTACACTTTGTTTGTTAAACCCAGCAGCCCTAACAACAGATGTACCTGTTGGCCGTCTAAAGCTGATTTTATCCCTATGCCGGTTAAGAAATCCCTTCATCCATTTCTTTCCTGCAGATTCTTGTAGTAATGAAAACTTATTTGGAATGTTATTACGTTTCGCTAATTGAAATGCAAGAGAACGTAGATCTCTTCTCGTTAATCCAAAAAATTGTCTTTCCATTTTCAGGACATGGTCCACAAGGTTATTTTCCAATTCTAGAGATAAAATGGGATTTCTTCCCAATGATTCTTTTTTGATATCATTAATATTTTTTACGCTTTTACAGTACCTGAATAGAGTGGCACGTGGTACATTATAAAATTTTGCAGCTCGCAAATATCCCATTTGATGGTTTCTCACTGCTTCTACAGCGTTTTTCATATCTTCTTCTTTCCACTTATGTTGGTTAATATTTTTGAAGGCATTTTCTGAATGCATACATAATTCCTCCACACACCCGTACCAGCATAAAGTTGCTGCATTCAATAGTATGCTTCACAGATTATTGCATATTCCACTGTCTGATAGGGATTTCCAGAAAGAGCTGAATTTGATCAAACAAATCGCGATTAATAACGGTTATAAGGTAGATATTGTAAGCTCCATTCTTTCCAAAAAACGACAAAAGCAAGCCATGGATCTAGTCTACCCATATTCAAGATGCGATAACGTTAGTTATAAGACATTGGCATATGTGGGGGAACCAAACAGGAATATTGCCCGTTTTTTGAAGAAAGAAGGCGTAAACGTAGCTTATAGAACGAATAATAACCTAAGTAAATTTGTTAAAAACAATAAGGACAAAACTTTGGTGTCGGATAGATCAGGAGTATATAAGCTGACTTGTGGCTCTTGTCCAAAACTGTATATTGGCCAAACAGGAAGAACATTTTTCCAACGAATTAAAGAACATAGGAGTAGTTTTGTAAATAGAAAGACCAATTCCACATTTGCAAACCATCTTTTAGCAGAAGGACATGAGTTCAATCATGAGTACGAGGTGTTACATTTAGAAGAGAAGAGTTTGAAACTTAATCTTCTAGAATGTTTAGAAATCAATAGATTCAGGAATTCGGGTAATTTACTGAATGATCAATTAGAACTCAATAACTCTCCGTTACTGAATATATTTTTTCAAATGTGAAAATGGAACATAAGTGCAGGTAATTTAATTTGTTAGAAACTCAGGTAAAATATCAGCTACTTAAAGTTCAGGTACTTCGTTTACAGGTACGTTGATTTCAGGTACTCCATAAACTATATATATATTTAGTATTGAATGTGTAGATTTAGTTGAAAGACACGCCAGATGAAGCCATTGTATGGCGAAACACGTGTTGCGTTTTTGTAAAACAATTTAGTGAAAATCTCACGATAAAGTGTTTTTGGAATACGTTTTTTCTGAAAAAGATTGAAAACGAAAATAACATTTGTATGTTTATAATCTAGGCGTCCTAATGTGGAATATTTCACATTCAGCCTCTCTCTAGTATTCCACTTTAGGCGCCTCCTAACCTTATATTTCATATCAACATGATCAAACTTAAATAGTTTGTTTGCATTCATTTCAGGGCATATTTTTCACTCACCATCTATATTTTATTCACTCAAAAAAAAACTCTCCAAAACAGTATGGAAATAACAAGGTACATTAACTTTTATTTGCCGATGAAAAAGAGTCAGCTCTGACTTAAACCACGTTCAGTTTAATATTTCTGATCTACTGCGCAATAGACCTGACAGATTTCTACATATTGAAAGTTATGAAAAGATTTACCAAATACGTCAATTCAAGGGCAGATGGCGTATGTAGTTCTTTTTATAAGAGGGGATTTCACACTAGGAACCTATTTCACATTAGGTGACTTTACTCTAGTAGTTGAAATATTGGGCTCAGCTGAAATAATTTCCAACCGCTCAGTATCTGAACTATTTGAAATTAAATGAAATAATGAGAAATGGTAATATGTTTATTGCTTTTGTTAAACATTTCAACAGTAGTTTTTCATTCGTGATATCCTCCAAAAATGTACCTTTTTCTAAAATATTTCTGTTTTGAGTCACAGAAAAAGGTTAGTATTCCACTCGATGCTTGCCTTTCAGTCGCATCAATAAACTTCATTTCAAGAGTAATAGTCACATTTCTCGCAGGTTGAATAATATTTCATTCCACACACACACATCAGTGCTATGGAAACATTTTCTAAATATTCCTTATCGACAATATTTCAAGATTATTTTTACTTCTAATGCACTGTTTGGAACCTTTGGTGTAGTAATGAATATTACTGGAGTTTTTCTCCAACGCCTAACCGTTATTTTGACACCTCGACACGTATTTTGATCACCAAGTGATCATTTTTAAGAGGAAGATCAAACAGTATTTGTTAATTTGTTTCCAAACACTTTTATTCTCCAACTCAAAACATTGGGTGAAATGTAATTCAAAATGAACCCAAACATCAAACATACGTTTATATATTTTTTTAAATTCGCTTGGAATAAACATTGTAAATGATTTATATTCAACAAGAGTTTAATTGATGTCACTTATCAAAGAGTCCATAAACAATAATTCATAATATTTCAAACAACCCAATTCGGTAATGAATTAGTTATAACAGTTGAAATATGATTTTCAAAATATTTCTGTTATTAACATGCAATAACATAATTTCGTTAGAATCTATTGAATTTCATGATTGAACGTATTTATATCGAATGTATTCAATTATAAGGGCCGGGTATCCGATATATTTGATGATTACCATGAAACATATGTTATTGTTGTTGCTCGAATCACATTTCGGTAAATTATTCCAGTGAACAATTTCGCTGTTAGCAAACTTGATAAAAAATTGTTTCATGTTGATTCAATAACAAATATCCAACAGGAACAACTAATCATTTACGTTGTCAGTAAATCTGTACAAATTTATTATGCACTTCACTTCTTCCAGTTCCTAGGAAAAATTCTAGAATATTCATAGCCAATTTCAGTTCTCAACTGAATACGAAAAAAAGACTAGTATACCACTGATTACAAAACGAAAGATTCCAGTGAGTGGATACGAAATTTAAAATGATCAATCACATCTTCAAACGAATCAGAATGTTTCGACCCTTGAAAAATCATCGTGACTTTGACAATATCGAATACAAGCGAAACAAACTTCACAAATATTTTTCAATTCACTTATTGAATTATTTCATGTACTACATTATCAAATATTATCGCCGTCATCTATTTTAATATTCAATTTCACCATTATAGTGCGCACCATATGGGAAACTTTCTTTTCGAAAACTTTCAATGAAGTTTAACTTCGGCACTTGTTTGTGCCTTAAATTTAACTTGAAATAATGCGGCCAACTGCGACCCACAGACGTTCAGTGTTTGTCAAATCCAGCTTTTTTTTGAAAAAAATTGAAGAAGTGCATTTCTAGATCGAATTTAACAAAAAGTTACTTGAAAAAGTTGTGTCTACGGCAATTTTATATCCATATGCCAAATTTTATGCAACTAGGATAAAGTTAACGTTTTGCTTAGTTTTGACAGATATCCCTTTTATTTTAAAAAACAAGTTCGATTAATTGTCATCAATTCATGTATACATAACAAACTCATCATGGAGTTTGACTTTTTCGATACATTTTTACTTATACGGACATTTTTAGAGAGAAATGAAAAATGTGCTATAAAAATTTTAACATGACTGGTGCAAAGTTTCAATCACTTGGCTATTTTCTCAAACAAACCTTTCAGTACCTTCAATTTTGAAAAAGCAGACTCAACTCAAAAACTGCAATAAGTATTAATAAAATTACTAGAGTCGAAATTACATTAAAATTTCAATATTCAGTATTTACAGATCATTCATAAACACTAACTAGGGCGGTAAGGATGCTTAATCACGTTGAATAAAATTTTTAAGTAGGTCTTGACAAACAAAATGCATGCTATGGTAGTGTCAAGTTGTTGATTTACTTGTCAAATGTTTAACAGTTATTGTTGCAATAATGTTGTCTCTTCAGGAAACAATACAAATAGTTTCAATATGTAGTGAGAATACACAATACCGGCAAGTAGTTAACATTTTTAATGAACGGCATCCAGGAAAAAATGTTCAACATAATATTGTGTCAAGGATAATGTCAAAATTCAGAAAAACAGGATCAGTAGCAAATCAATTTAAGAAAAAGCACACTCCAAGTCAATATGATGAGGAGGCCCAACTTAACATTTGTTCAAAAGTTATTGAACACGGACAAACGAGCATAACCGATATTATAAAAAAATACCGATTACAGGAGAGAAAGTGTTAGAAAAATTTCATGGCTTTACAAGCCAAAATTTATTAACACATTAAAAGAACGAGATTTTGATGTCCGTTTGGAGTTTTCATTCTGGTTTCAAGGAGAGAGAGAAGAAAATGTAAAGTTTCCGTATAAAATTTCATGGACAGATGAGGCAACGTTCTCTTCAAATGGAACGGTAAGTTCTCAAAATTGCCAATGGTGGGCCCAAGAAAATCCCAATTTCACAGTTGAATGTGGTGATCAATATTCCTTTAAAACTAATGTATAGTGTGGGATACTTAACGACCAAATAATTGGGCCATTTTTTTTCAGGGAAAATAATATGCCTTTAAAAATACGACCTATGGTATCAGCTTGATGGCGCACCAATACATCACACGGTTGCTGTAAAACAGTCCCTCCAATAAATGTTCAGAGGCAAAGTTATTGGACGTAACTGGGAACATTATTGGCCACCTACATCACCCGACTTGAAGCCTTTAGACTTTTTCTTGTGGGGTTACCTGAAACAAAAAGTGTACTGAAGTAGACCATTTACTGACATACAACATCTGGAAAATACCATTCGCGAGTGCTGAGCAAATATAAATCCCCGATTTATTGAAAATGCAGTTACAGATGTCAGTAGAAGGAACATAATTTGTATTGAACGTGGAGGACGACATACTGAAATGTAGGCTATAAATGTTCGAGAACCTCATTTAGATCAATAAGTAATTTTTTGTACCCATTTGTATTTTCTATAATATTATTAAAATTTGGCATATGGATATAAAATTGCCGTAGACACAACTTTTTCAAGTAACTTTTTGTTAAATTCGATCAAGAAATGCACTTTTCAATTTTTTTCAAAAAAAAAAATTGAATTTGACAAACACTGAACGTCAGTGGGTCGCAGTTAGCCGCATCATTTTAAGTTAAATCTAAAGCACAAACAAGTACCGAAGTTAAACTTCATTGAAACTTTTCGAAAAAAAAGTTTCCCATATGGTGCGCACTTTAATGGTGACACTGTATGTATTATTATTCATACATTTTCTTAATTGCCTATTTCACACATCGTGTGTTGTTTTCACTCAATACAGTATATAATTATTTATATAATCTGCACTGATAAGAGGCTCATACAGTTAATTTCTTTAATGCCCCCCTTTTATTTTTTGAACGGATCAACTCAAAAAATTGAAATTTGAGATAATGAAATTTATGCATGAATACTTTATTTTGAAGTGAAATTAACAGATGGAACTTTCAAGATGGTAACTGGGCGCCATCTAGGAAAAGAAATTGAATAGAAAAGGGAGTAGTCCTATGATACATCTTTTTGAAGCTCCTGACAAATGCTTCACAACCCTAGAATATAATATCAATATCTTCCACTACTACTACGGAACTTTTAATAATTGCCTGAATACAGTGACATTTAACTACATAATATGAGGTAATAAGCTTGAGGTCAATTCAGAAGATGCTCGAATGGTTGCCTTGAACTTCTTGACATACGAACTGCCTCTCCGATATTTCACGCCGAACATTTTCGAACACAGTAACGTTAGATAATATATCTAGAAATATTCATTATTCTCTGCCGTATATCGAATATAGAAGCAGGTTCAGTTTCGTACACCTTTTGCTTCGAATAGCCCTATAAAAAAAGTCCAAAGGTGTCAAATCTGGCGAGCGGACTGGCCAATCCAACGGCTGTTCCAACGACCGGGAAAAGTAGTATCCAAGTAGTTTGTTACTTGTCTGGAGTAATGTGGTGGTGCTCCATCTTGTTGGAATACAATATCCATATCGAATTCGTTGCGATTCGCTTTCAGTGATGGCAGAGTCAACAGTAGTTTCCAGCATATTCAAGTACAGTTCCCCTGTTGAATTCTGGTGAATGAATAGAGGTCCTACAATATGGTTTCCCAATATTCTTACCCAAACGTTAATTTTTTCTTGATATTGGGTATGTGTTTCCCAGAAAACGTGAGGGTTGGTGTCACTCCAATAACGGCAATTTTGTCTGTGAACATTGCCGTTTGGACAAAATGTATATTCGTCAAAAAAACAAATATTGTGAAGATAGGTAGGATGCTTTGCAATGGTTTCCATCATGATGTCACAGAAATCTGTTCTTCGATCAGGGTCATCTTCAGTAAATAGTTTAATTTCGTATGGATGCTACCTATTCCTCTTCGAAAGTCTCCACACAGTAGAAGGAGACCCCTCACAAACATTCGCGATGGAATAAGTAGACTGTTCAGGATTTACTAACATCTCATCAATCATTTGCACTTGCTGTTCTTCCAGAATGGACGGATGACCTGGGGGATTTTTGTTATGGACACTACCGGTAGTTGAAAATTCGGATACAAGTTCTCTCAAATATTTTCTACAGATTGGACGACTCGGAAATCGTTCATTGAAAATCCTTTCTCTCGTGAAAGTTACGCGTTGCATCGTAAATGAAAATCGCTTCAATTTTGTCTTCCAATGGACGAGAATCGACCATTTTAGAGATTGTTGACGTGGTACCTCTCCACTGGTAAAACAGAAAACTG